GGCTAAACAAGGTGCATTATGGTCTATGTGAAAATGGTGAATGGGTAAAATCATTGCTCGTTGACACTTAGCGATAGCTATAACTAGTTTAATTCTTATTTGTCCATTTTCACGCTTAAATTTTAATTTACATGCACTTGTCGCACTTTCTTTTTCTATATATATTTCAACGAATCAAGTTAATTGCTTATCTTTTGATAATAAGAGCTTAAAGCAGCGACGTTTTTGAGCCACGGACGTCAACCGGAAGTGGAGGTTTTGCACTCTTGAGCCGTAATTTTGGACAAATTTTTGGTCGAATCGTCTGTATAAGAGTAAAGACACTTAGCAATACAAATTTGGTAGCGTAAAGGAATATTAGAGGAGAAAAAGGCTCACTTCCGAACGAGCTTAAACTCCCTAATGAAACAAAAATGACCCTTGCTCGCCAACGAGTCCTCAGTAGCTCAGAGGTTAGAGCATCCGATCTAGAACACGGAGGGTCGTGGGTTCGAATCCCATCTGGGGCTCAGAATTTTTTCTGTGTTCTCTTATGGTTGATTCTTTACATCTCCCTTTATTTCCTTTATAATATTAATATCAGTGACATAGGTTAAGGCATATTAGAGGAGAAAAAGGCTCACTTCCGAACGAGTTTAAACTCCCTAATGATGACATGAAGCCATCGAAACGTCGAGTTTCTTTTAAACCATTGAGGTTTGTTTTAAGATCACTTTACCTTTCAGAGCCTAAATGATGGATCCTCCACCCACTGTACCACCCACGGCTCAACCGTATTCCCCAGAGCAAGCGATGTATCCACCGGCGTACCCCCCGGGTCAATATCCACCGGTAACTCACCAACCGGCACCGTACGTACAACAGACTAGCAATACCACTGTAGTGGTGAATCAGCAACCAGCAGTGGTTCAAAAGGCACAACGGGATTGGAGCACTGGACTGTGTGGTTGCTTTGAGGACTGTGGCTCTCGTAAGTATTCTTTAAGCGGCACTCAAATGAGTTAATGTGGTGTTGATAATAGTTACAACAACTTTATTTATTAAGCGTCAGTATTTCTTGCTCGAATGTACTCATTGAGGACAGTATTTTCACGTCTCCTAATAGATACGGCTCCGCCATTTTTACGTGGTCATCCTAGTCACGTGAAGCGGTTTATCTGTTTCCAAACCATAAGCAATACCTTCTTACTCAGTTTTCTTAAGACCCTGAGTATTGGTCCGGATCCGGAAATCTAATCCGCCACTTCCCGCTCTGCAGACAAGCGCTTTTACCTGAGCTAACCCAGCCACGTTTATTTTATTTTGTTTGTGTTTAGTGTTTACGGGCCTTTGCTGTCCTTTCATGCTGCTGACCGATGTTTCGTCCAGGATGGGCGAAGGATGTTGCTTCCCTTGCTGTTGTCCAGGTGCACTGTTGGGACTCAGGATCAAGCTGAGAGTGCAGGAGAATATTCAGGTATTCGAGAGGTTTCAAGAGCTTAAAGAACAACCTCGTTCTAGGGGACGAGTTTGCTTTAAGGAGCTTTGTCCCACATCTATGAAAATTAAATAAAGCCATTTAATAAAAAGATGCCACCAAAATGAACTGAATGAAGTATGAAAATAACCAATCCATCAAAACAGTAAAAGAACATTTAAATAACACTGCAGAAAACCTTTTTTACGGCACCCACTTGTTTAGCCTCCCCGCAGACGTCCTTTGGGGTTCGTTTGTCACGCATTCATTTCTCCCCCACGGACGTCTGCAAAACACAGCCGACATTTACGTTCACCAATCACAGGCCGTTTACGGATTTTTGTAAAACGTAACCCGAGCCGCTTCTTAAGATTCGCTCGATCAGTGAAGCTTTTGATCGGGTGTGCGAGAAATTTGTAATGAATACAGAGTTAAACAAGTATCAGAGAGAAGCAATCCTGCAAATTTTATAGCGAAGAGCGATGAGTTCATAAATTTGTCGACGGGATTTGTTGTTGTTGTTGTTGTTGTTTCGCTCCTGGTAAATCTTGAAAGATCAAGCTAGAACGGCTGGAAAATATTGGTATTCCTGCTGTAACGCTCAGTAAAATCAGAAAAGAGAACATGAGAGTTGTCGAGAGAGGGACTTTCTCTGTTGTTTACGGAAGCCCAGAAGCTTGGTTGAAGATCGATCGGTGGAGGAAATGTTAGCGAGTGACTTGCACAGTTTGTATCAGGGCGGATAAAGGTTGGGCGGTGAAACGAGCGCTCCGCTCTTCATTTAATGAGATGCGGAGTAGGACTGGCACGAGCACTCTTTCCGCGCTTCCGGTGCGCTTGAAGGCCGGCGAAATTTTCCTTTTTGGAAACCGGAAATCCTATTTTCTTTCTGTAATTTCAGGCTACAATGTTAA